TCTTATCAGGGCGATAGAAGGGGAAAGGCAAATGGAGAATTGGAAGTCACAGACAGCATAAGCATTTACAGCAGATGCTGGTGATATGGTGCAAAGGCACTGAAATACGTGTTCGTCTCTGCTCCGGCAGGGTTTGGTAGCACAGCCCCTTTCAGAAGGCATCTACGTTGCTGAGCTGGAGTGGAAGCAAGGGAGCTGCGTTTTCTGGGCACTGCACGGGAACTAACAAAACCTACTTGGTCAGACATGACTCTATACAGGGCTTAACTCTCTGGGTCTTCGTGTATAGTGCAGTTAATCTGCAGTGAGGGCAAAGCGCATATGGTGAAGTGAGTGTTGAATGTATTTCTAGAGTAAAACAGAGGTGGAGCTGCCTTAAATTATTGGCATGTTCCCAAAGCCATTGAGGTCTTGGCGATGCTCAGTGAAAATGCTCACTTGTGATCTTCAGCGATTCTGCTAGAAATTGAGATCGCAGATCTCGCACTTTTTGAGCTATTTTCTGACCTGTTAATAATATTGCGTCATAATATCTGTATCTGTCCACCTGTGGCTTACAAGTACAGCACAAAAGTTATTACACACAACACATGCACTGCACACAATGTGGTATCTTAAACTGAAGGCACCACGAAGATGTGGCTGGCATGTCTGCAAATATTTCCTTGTGAAAATGTAAGTATTACAAAAATATTCTAGATACAGTTTGATGCATTTTTATCTGGAAATGGAAGCACCTGCAGGTTATATCCACAGTCATCTGTAAATGTAAATCTGCAGAAAGTAAACACAAATCTAAGTGTGAATTCAGACCTATATTGCTGCTGTGTAATAGCTTTGCTTCTGCAACTGCTGTAGTAGTTTACAATGTTAACATCCTTCAGCTGCTTGCCCTTACCTGGTATCACCCCAGTCCCACCTGAATTGTAATGGTTGAACATGGAAAGGCTTCTGCTCTGGTTCAGCGCAGAGAAAACCAGGCTAGCTTAAGGAAGGGCTCAAGGTAACCTTTTGTTTTGCTGTAAAATGGGCTAAGGGTATGGTGCCATGTACCTTTTTACTTGGTGCTTATACAGTTCTAAGAAATCTCTTTCTGTGCTTCTTGGCAGTTGTGTTGGCAAATATTACTCCTGCTACTGGCAATAAATAAAAACTCCATTCCCCAAAAGAGTTGATTTTAACCTGAATTAGGTTCTCATTTCCTTTCAGCGGATGGCTACATAAACGGTTGTGTCAGTAGAAAATGGGATGGGGTTTGGATTAGCAATGAGCTGCAGGAGATGAAAATGCAGGAGGATAGCTCTTGGAGTCTCCTTTATACTAGTGTAATTGCAGCCCACATGGAGCAGGTAGAAATATTTTAGTTAAAAATCACAGCCTTAAATAAACAAAGCTCCCTATAGAGCTTTGAAGTGCTGACCAGCCTTTCCTAATACATTAATGTAAACACTTAAAATATCAGTTTAGATCTGAACGAAAGATACCCCTTTAGTCAGTTTAACTAGTGCATGCTTGTTGTTGAAATTTGCATTTCTTTATGCCTCATCTTGGACGACTGTAAAAAATGGCTACATGATCAGGCATAAGTGTAAGGTCTAATTTAAGTTAATGCCTTTACTACGGTAGGAGCAGAGTAAATTAGGGTGGTTGATTATGCTTTTTTATTTTATTGTTGATGGTTGAGTTCACAGCGTAGCAGTTACTGTTAGCAATCAAGCTGCGGTATGCTGTGCCTGGTGAAGTGAAGCATATTTCAGAGAAAGTTCTTCTGGAGCTAAAAGCCACGGTATCTTTCAAAGTTAGCGTTCTCCTAACCCTCTCCAAGAGTCCATATAATTCCAGGAAATAAACCAACAAAGATCAGACAAAGAGTTTATTCTGGCATGAAAAGAGTGGAACATAGCTAGTGGGCCAGCTGCCCTGGGTGGCTTCCAGGCTGGTGTGAACGGTGTGGGCTCCTGGCTCATCTGCCCTGGGATTCATGAGCAGGGAGCGCAGGTGACGGGCACGGTCCTAAGCTGCTGGCTGGAACCTGCCTGCAGTGGGTAATCGGTTCATTAACTGAAAGCTTTCCTAGAGATTGGCAGCCCAAACCCCAAAGCTATTGTGCAGAAGTTCTGGTACTGTTTTTGATGGTTTGGTGGTTTTTAAATCACGGTGTTTCAGAATAGTTCCTCTAGGTAGATGCTTAGCGCTACCAGTTAGAGCAAAAGAAGAGTATTTTTGCTTAATGCAAGGACTGTGTAATTTGTTCCTGAATTACTTTAATTTCTGGATAAACTCTGCCCTTAGAAAGGCACTTCCCAGTGATTTAATTGTCCTAGAAAAACTGGCTGATGAAAGCTTTCATATTACTTGCTTAGGACTGCTATAGTAATCCCTGGGTTACATTGCACGGGAAGTGCTATACAAGCACACAAACACCACAGCTCCCTCTGCAAGAGGTGAAAAGGGTCCAGCTAGGAAGGTTTGCTATGCTTGGAATGGGGGAAACATTGCCTTTGGTTACCCGGGTGAAGCAGTTTATTTTTGTTTAAATGAAGCTTGGGTTTGCCACCTAGTATATGTGTATGAGAAGTAGTAATTACAACTATTTCAGTTCTTGGGCCAGAATGGCTGTGTCAGAGATTTGGATGCTGTATCTACTGACAAAATGCTTTGAAAACCAAAGTAGAGACCTGAGCCAGCTGTGGGGTAGGGCAGAGTATCAAATTCTTGCTAGTACAGGATCTGACTTGATGGAGAATGTCGGCTACCAGAAAATAAAAAGTCAGTGGGGTGTGGGGGAGAATGCCTTTCCCCAAGAGGTGTTTTTCTGTTTTTATTGTGGGGTGGAAGAATAGGAGAAACACATAAAACTGACAGATGGCTGAAGGAAAAATGCAGAACCTGAAAAATGGAAAAATTCTGTGCTGTGGAAAAAAGCTCCTTTTTCATATTTCAGTTGTGTACTGCAAGTATGCTGCTCTGACAGCAAGGCATACGCCAACAGAGAGGTACTTGAGAGCCCTCATGCAGAGGGAGCTGAGCATTTTTAGCTTCTTTGCAAATAAAACTAAAAAAAGGGTAAAATGAATGTGTGTAATCCTGAAGCTTTGATGGACCTCAGTAACACTGTTGACTAGAAAGCACATTCATATTTCATTAGAGTAAAGCTTACATGATAAAGGTGACCTAAAAGAGAGAAATGAGCTTGTGCACTTCTCTGTGGCTTTATAAAAATGCATTAAAATTGTTCTTGCTTAACCTTAGAAATAAATAGATTAAATGCAGTCTTCCTTGGTTTGGTAAAAGGTCCTGGGAAAGCAAGCAACTGGAGCAGAAGAGAACCTTGGTTTTAATTGTAGGCACTTGGCATTAGAATTGTTGTGTTTATTTTCACCTTGCTGGTTTCTGATGGCTTCCACAAATGTGCTGAAACATAACAGAGATGTAGCCTCTCATCTGAAGGTTTACAAGGGTTGGCATTTATCTCAATTGCTTGTCATGGCTCATGACATGTTTCTTATGTGTCAGAGACGGTAGCTAAAACAAGGATAAAAAGCAGCAAATAGCCTAAGGCTGGAGGCTTTAGCCGGTGGCACAGCTACACAGGTACATCTGAACTGATCAAAAGCTGTCAGGTGGATGCTCTGAACTGGTGTTAAGCCCATCCACAAACAAGATGCCTTGCATTTCTCTGCATGAACCTAGCTGCACCCCATGGCATCACCTAGCATACTCCTTTAACTTTACATGTAAAGGAATTTCTATAACTTTCCTTGTGCAACGGGCCATTAGTAAGAGCATGGCTCTGGTCCTTGTGTTCGTGAATACAGGGGCTAATTAAGGTAATAGCTGACAGAGTATGGATGAGGTGGGAAGAGGATGACTGCAGCTTCTCCCCAGGCATTGCAGGAGCAGGGGCAGGGCTGTGGGTGCTTCTTCCCCGCACTGTGAAGGGCAGGGCAGCCACAAAAGCCCTAGCACTGGTGTGTGGTTTTGCTCCCTCTCAATAATGAAATTTAGGTTTCCACAATACAGTTAGATACTTCTTAGTCATGCCATTCTTAACTTGACAAACTCTATTAATTTTTTTTAATGGGTCATTTATATTTTATTTATAATAATATGTCTTTTGCAACATATTAACTTTATATTTAAGACCTTCTGGATTGCCTCCACCCTATTCTGACATACATGTATGCATATCCACCCTTTTCTTTTGTATTGCTTCTGTCAGGACTTAACTGCCTATGTGATTTGCTTAGTATTTTTATTTTAGGGCAGACAATTCAATCTGAAGCAGTCACTGGGGCTTGAGCTTTGCCGACATGAATGAAAAGCAAGCTGTGAACAGCTATTCCTTTTCCCAGCCACTGCGCCACCTCCGCAGCACTGCTGTCAGAGCCAATTGCGTGACTCGACTCAAACACACTCCAGGCAATGTCAGCCCAGTTAAAAACATGAGAACAGCCAGGCTGGGTCAGGTTAAAAGTCCATCCAGCTC